AATTGGTTAGATATAAAAAAATAACATCCCCTTCATATGATTCTACTCGAGATATTAACACACATATAGATAGATTGACTTTCCATTTCAGATATCCGCCGATCCCGATCTATTTGAAAATAGCTAGAATTCATTTACCCATATATCGTGTTTCTGCATGCATAAGAGCTATTTCATTTATGTTCGGCGAAAGCCGCATGTTATACCATATTCCACTCAATAAATATCAATGTTATGATACAAGTCTAAGTTTTGAAAAAAAAAAATGGATGCAATTTAGTCCCATCGGGTCTAAACAATCTTGTTGTTTTGAACATGAAGAGATAAAGAAGCCATTGCAATTGCCGGAAATACTATGCCTACTACAGGTACCAAAATAGAGGAAAAGTCAAAAGTTGCCATAGAATGGGTACCTCGATTTACTATTAAAGATATCTTATAATAATTATAATTCTAATTAGTATATATCTAAGTGAGTATATATAATAAGCGCAAGGAATGTAGAACTAACTAAATGGACTTATTCATCTTTCTACTTTCTACATAAAATATATGTATGATAATCGATTTTATTAGTCTTCTTCTTTTCTTCTTGTCTTTAAATTTAATAAAAAAAGAGTTTCTTACAAATTACCGAAAGATTCGTTAGAATCCGACCTAACGGGGATTCTTAGTAAAAAATGGGGATTCTCGGGAGATATAGAAAGATACAAAAATCTATATTTTCTATATTTGAATTATATACAGACGTAAGAAAGGAAAATGAAATTCTTTTTTTTATCTTGTTGCTAGAGGCTTCTGATTACTAGTCAGTAATATAGGTAAAAAAAAGAATTATCCACAATTTTTGATTTTTTCTACAATTAGATCTTATGTCATCAAAGAAAACTCTATTCTTCTGATTTTGACTTTGATTTCGATAAACTAACTACTTGTTGCTACAAATAAAATAATTGAACTTAATGTGCTCTACTTGCTTGAATTTTGATTTAAAGGAAAGAAAGCGTGGAGCTGAAATAATTCACTCAGAACGCCCTTTAAAGGATTACGCGGTACGATTAAATCGAATAAGCCCTTCTGGAATAAATATTCGGCCGCTTGTGAACCTTCGGGTACTGTTTTATGCAATGTTTGTTCAATTACTCTTTTACCCGCAAATGCAATGTAGGCATTGGGTTCGGCAATAATGATATCCCCCAACATACCAAAACTGGCTGTCACCCCACCAGTAGTAGGCGATGTAAGGATTGATACATAAAATAACTTTTTATTTGATTGATAATCATATAAAGCAGAAGAAATTTTAGCCATTTGCATCAAGCTCAAACTTCCTTCTTGCATGCGTGCCCCTCCCGAAGCACATACTATAATAAGAGGTAGAAATTTATTGGTAGCATACTCGACCAAACGGGTAATTTTCTCCCCAACTACGGATCCCATACTACCCCCCATAAACTGAAAATCCATAACCCCAATTGCTATGGGAATACCGTTTAGTTGGCCGATGCCTGTTTGAACAGCCTCAGTTAACCCTGTTTTTATTTGATAAGAATCGATACGATCTTTATAAGGCTCCTCATCCGAATGAAATTCAATGGGATCCAGAGAGACCATGTCTTCATCCAGAGGATCCCAAGTGCCCGGATCAATCGAAAGTTCGATTCTATCTGAACTACTCATTTTCAAATGATATCCACATTGTTCACAAATATTCATTTTTGACTTCAAAAATTTCTTATAATTTAATCCATAACAATTTTCGCATTGAACCCACAAATGCTTGTATTTTGAGTTACATCGAGATCATTAGAACTTTCTCTTATAGTTAAATCACTACCATTCATGCTGGTTTTTATACCGGAACTATCGCTTTTACTACTATTTCTACTTTCACCACAAATGGAACTATAAATGTAACTGTCACTATCACTGTAATTGTCACTATCACTTAAATGTAAGTATCAATACAGATTTGAGAATGAAGATAACTGTCAATGCAACTATTAATGTGATTATTCCAACTATATTGAGTATCATACATGTAACGATCATAGTAGGGATCGTTACTCTTAGATCCCTTATTCCGATAACTATAAAAAGAACTTTCTAGTTCACTTAGAAAAGAATGATCATTGTCAATCTCAAAATCTGATTTTCAATATCAAAATATATGGAATAACTGTCCCCATTATTATCCCTAACTAAAAAAGTGTCATCAGAAATGAAATTCCGAATGTCCTTGACACTGAATAAATGATCAACATTACTATTACTGTAACTAGAACCGTCACTATCAATCCAACTATGAATGTTTTTATTTCTATCTGGATCTTCACTTTCGCTGGTATTTTCAATAGGACCAAGACTACCCGTTGATTTACTCAGCCCACACCTGTGTTCTAACTCCTTCTTAAACAGCATCGAATTGAACCACCACTTTTCCATAGAGTTTTCTTGCCCCCTATTTGCATAAAAATACAATAGATGAATAGTCATTCGA